AGCACTGTGAATGCTATAACTGTGACCTGTCATGCTCATTTCAAAAAGGGATCCAGAAAGGTTCTCCAGCTTCTCTTCTCCGGTGCAAATATTCCCCTCTGCCTTGTCTGCAGTGATATCTGGGAGTACACATTCAAAGGCCTGTTGCCAGAAGTCCCTGATAAATCCGTCCCCATCTGTGCTGGAAGGGTTTCTGTGCAGAACATACTGATGAAATCCTGGTGGGTTTCTAATCTGAATTTCAAATGCTATAGCGCCATTGAATATTCCTGCATCCCAGTACCTTTGAAAGACAAATGAAGCAAACTCAACCTGGGCTGTTATTATCCATACTTTACTTTCTACATTCTTTGTCTTGTCATCATGTTCTGAAAAGTATGAAAGCAATCTCAAAGTTGCCATGGAGTAAGATTCTCCAGAGGCAACCACTACGTTAGCATTGCTGTTAAAAATTTTCTCGTTTATTATTGCCCCCTGTGTTAGCATTCCAGGAATTTCAGAAATAAAACTAAAATTGGGGATTCTTTCTAGGAATGCAAAGCAGACACCACTCTTGGTAAACATTGGGGAAATGGTTTGCACAAATCTTTCTCCATTGTCATTTTCTGTTGCAATGACTCCAATCCACGTCCACCTGAAATGCAGAAGCAAAGAGAGAATTCCCTCATACTGAAGGGCTTCTGAGGCTGCCATCTGGTAGAAGGGAAGCCCTGGGCTTTTATCATTCATCACTGGAGCAGAGCCATAAATGAGCTGAAGAGGGAATGGAGGAAAAGAGGCAAAGTAATATTTGCAGAGTTTTTTCGAACTATTCATATACATTATGTGATGAATCATGTAAGTCAGACATGCCCTTTGCCACCCACCAGGGGTTGCATTCCTTTCTCATTTATACTAAAGACACACATGCAGATGAGCTGAAAATTGGGGTCATCTCCCATTCCAGTTTGTTAAGCATTTGTTCTGTTGACCAGAGAGGGGCAATGTTCCAATTTTATTTTTATACTTGCAAAATTTGGCAGCGTCTTCTATGATGGACAAAACTGATTAGAGGAACACACCATGCCCCAAACAGAGGATTGCCTACCCCTGCATTGGACATTATTTACTTTATCCATGTCAGAATTGCAGCTTGGGTTGGATGCACATTTCTTCTCTCTAGCTTCTTTCATCTTCACGATGCTCATACCCCAACACACAACAGAACTGTCATTTCTGCCTCTTGTTTTTCAAAACTCCTCAGACATTATTTATGAACATTTATTTCACTTTGGAACCAGTTTCTCAGTACTATTCCTGTTCTCCTGCATAAGTGGATTATATCTGCAATTTGTCATACCTTCAGAGTGTGTTTAATTTGAAAGTCTTTTCCCCTAAACATTCACATATTGGGTATGGTGTCATGGCTGGTGATGAAGAAACCCACTCTCCCATCATTGGCCTTTGGGATTTCCTTGAGGTGTGTGTAAGAGATTGAGGGGGGTGACATATTTTTTTCTGCTATTGCAGAATTTCTCTCCCTCATTTAGGTTATTATATTTTATATTAATTCTGTACCACCTTTATTTCCCAAGGATCTGAAGGTGGTGAATATGGTTCTGCTTCCAATTTCATCCTTGCCCTAAGCTAGTGATACACTCAGAACTAGTGCTGTGAATTCACCCTCTTTCACTATGCAAGCTAAGAGAGGTATTGTACATGGGTGCCCTACCTGCGGAATCTTATAGATATCCAAAACAGTTGCCATATAAAAGGAGATTTCAGAATCAAGTCCTCCTATGACCCCTGCCAGATTATTTTCAACATCACATATATAGTTAGGAACAAATTTCTCCACTCTGGATAAAAGCAGCAGTGTCGCAAAATATGTGTTTCTTGCATTGTTATAGCTGTCATATAAGTGAAAGCCCAAGGTGATATTGGGTAGAATGTGAGGGTCTTCATTGATCTCCTTTACAGCAAATGCCAAGGTCACGATGTGCTGGTAACCCTTAGGCATCACCCTAGAATGAGAGTTGCAAACAATATCAGAAGGAACTGATATATCATTTTACATATCAACACAGTAGTTAATCATATCGACTTCAGGGGAGTTAACGCCCAGTCCATTCTTTTGCCGAACAATTCTTATAATCAGCAAGTTCTTCCAGATGTTTACGCAGAATCTCCTATCTTGCAACTTGAATCCATTGGTTCTGGTCCTGCCCTCTGGAGCAAGAGAAAACAAGCTTGCTCCAACTTCCTGGTGACAGCCCTTGAGATATTTGAAAATGGTTATCCTACATCACTACATCTCAGAACCACTGGCAGTCATCTTTGAGAATTCCTGGAGAACAGGCGAAGTCCCGGCAGACTGGAGGAGGGCAAATGTTGTCCCTATTTTCAAAAAGGGGAAAAGAGAGGACCCAAATAATTATCGCCCAGTCAGTCTGACATCAATACCAGGGAAGATTCTGGAGCAGATCATTAAGCAAACAGTCTGTGAGCACCTAGAAAGGAATGCTGTGATCACCAATAGTCAGCATGGATTTCTGAAAAATAAGTCATGTCAGACTAACCTGATCTCGTTTTTTGACAGAATTACAAGCCTGGTAGATGAAGGGAACACAGTGGATGTAGCCTACCTTGATTTCAGCAAGGCATTTGACAAGGTGCCCCATGATATTCTTGTAAAGAAGCTGGTAAAATGCGGTCTTGACTATGCTACCACTCAGTGGATTTGTAACTGGCTGACTGACCGAACCCAAAGGGTGCTCATCAATGTTCCTCTTCATCTTGGAGAAGAGTGACTAGTGGGGTGCCACAGGGTTCTGTCTTGGGCCCAGTCTTATTCAACATCTTTATCAACGACTTGGATGATGGACTCAAGGGCATCCTGATCAAATTTGCAGATGACACCAAACTGGGAGGGGTGGCTAACACCCCAGAGGACAGGATCACACTTCAAAACGACCTTGACAGATTAGAGAACTGGGCCAAAACAAACAAGATGAATTTTAACAGGGAGAAATGTAAAGTATTGCACTTGGGCAAAAAAAAAGGAGAGGCACAAATACAAGATGGGTGACACCTGGCTTGAGAGCAGTACATGTGAAAAGGATCTAGGAGTCTTGGTTGACCACAAACTTGACATGAGCCAACAGTGTGACGCGGCAGCTAAAAAAGCCAATGCAATTCTGGGCTGCATCAATAGGAGTATAGCATCTAGATCAAGGGAAGTAATAGTGCCACTGTATTCTGCTCTGGTCAGACCTCACCTGGAATACTGTGTCCAGTTCTGGGCACCACAGTTCAAGAAGGACACTGACAAACTGGAACGTGTCCAGAGGAGGGCAACCAAAATGGTCAAAGGCCTGGAAACGATGCCTTATGAGGAACGGCTAAGGGAGCTGGGCATGTTTAGCCTGGAGAAGAGGAGATTAAGGGGTGATATGATAGCCATGTTCAAATATATAAAAGGATGTCACATAGAGGAGGGAGAAAGGTTGTTTTCTGCTGCTCCAGAGAAGCGGACACGGAGCAATGGATGCAAACTACAAGAAAGAAGATTCCACCTAAACATTAGGAAGAACTTCCTGACAGTAAGAGCTGTTCGACAGTGGAATTTGCTGCCAAGGAGTGTGGTGGAGTCTCCTTCTTTGGAGGTCTTTAAGCAGAGGCTTGACAACCATATGTCAGGAGTGCTCTGATGGTGTTTCCTGCTTGGCAGGGGGTTGGACTCGATGGCCCTTGTGGTCTATTCCAACTCTATGATTCTATTCTATGATTCTATTCTATTCTATTCTATCAGGAAATGAAACCATATGAGCATTTAGGTTCAGAACAAGTTTTTTTAATGCATTCTCACTAACACTCCTGTTCGGATAAAGTCTATCAAAATCAGCTGTTCAAAAGGGCTATCTCAGACACACACACCCCCAATACATTTACCGGTATATTCATTTCCCTATTGAGAAATGGGAGCTTTCTACAGTATTCTTTTAATTCACACAAGATTCTTATGGATTTTACATCAGCTTATGCCCCACTGAAATGAAAAGTGGTTATCCCTAGGTAAATGGGTAGAAGTTTGCAGCCTCAGTCAATATTCTGAGGCTGAAACTCTTGGTTTGATCATTCCTGTACTGTAATAAATGAGTGGCTTAGTTCTTACACAAGCTCTTCAGGCAGCGCTGGTGGGGGTTCCTCAGTGAATGATGCTGGAGAGGAGATGAAGCCACCATGGGAAACAATGCCACCAATGAGGAACTCTCCTGGCTGATGATACATGTGAAGTGGACGGTGTGGACTTTGGAGCTTGCATTTTGCTATGTGAGCCTGACATACATTGTAAGAAATCAGTTCCAGCAGCAAGAATACTAAAACCACCATTCTCAATACAAAGGCAACTGGTTGTTCTATGCAAAAACTCTGTTTTATCTTTTCCAAGATAAAAATTGTCTCGTTTAAATGGTAGTTTATTTTCCTGAGACGATGCAATGTTGGAGTATCCAAAATCAGACTTGTGGATCATAACTCTGATGAATTCTGATTAATTTTAATATACTTTGCATTAGGTTTACCAGCGGCCACTGTAAGTCCCCATTGTTTTGTGAGAAGCAGCCGCTCAAATTATAGCCCTGTTAATCATCAAGAAGCAATGTAATTAATCATTCAGTGCTTAGAATTCCCTCTGGAATTGTTGAAGAAAATGTGTTTGTCCCATATTCAGAACTGTTGTTTTAATTTCCCTTTCACTTGATAATAAGGGACCACTGTTCTATTGGGGAAGGAAGACGTTAGAAGCTCATTATGGAAGACCTTGTAACCAATGTAGTTTCCAAAATGTGTAGTCAGCATTCTGGAATTAGGGTCCCTCCCTGGTCTATGAGTCTAGGATACATGATCCACTGCTTCCCTTAATCAGAGTACTTTGTCAAGGGAAAATCCAGGGAGAAGAGCTACATGGGCTCCTCTGTTGGTTTTGGGGGACAGTTTTGTGAAATAGACTTGTTCATGCTTTAATTCTTTCTTATAATAAGCTGTCCCCGACTGTTTAACTCGGGCCTCACCAAAATAATATAACATTTGGGGAAGAAGATGCAGCCCAGTAATCCAAAACTAGAGGCAAAAATAGAAAAGATCTCCACAGCCACCATGTACTTTCCCTTGGTACTCAGATAGGTAGGAACAAAGGACAGCCACACACTGCAAAAGACCAACATGCTGAAAGTGATAAACTTGGCTTCATTAAAACTGTCTGGTAACTTCCTAGCTAGGAAAGCCACAGTGAAACTGACAAGGGCCAGCATTCCCATGAAGCCTAGGACACAGTAGAACATGGTGACTGATCCTTCATTACATTGCAGTACAATTTCTTTAGTCCCTGAGTGCTTGTCTAAATCAGGGAGTGGGGGAGCAACTATCAGCCAGGCACTACACATCATCATTTGAATGAGGAAACTGAAAAGAACAATGGAGATGGCCAGATGTTTCCCCACCCATCTCCTCATTCTGGAGCCTGGCTTGGTAGCCATGAAAGCTAGAACCACTATAGTTGTTTTTGCTAAGATGCAAGACACTGCTACTGAGAAGATGACTCCAAAAGCAGTTTGTCGAAGGAGGCAGGTTATTTTTGTGGGCTCGCCAAGGAATAGCAAAGGACAAAGGAAGGAGAGATTGAGGGCTATGAGGAGAACATAGGTGAGGGTCCGATTGTTGGCTTTCACGATAGGAGTCTCTCTGTGCTTGATGAAGATCCTAAGCACAAAAGTTGTAGTGAAAGTCAATAAAAGAGCAAATGTGACTAAACTGATTCCCAGAGGTTCACCGTAAGACAGGAAGCTTATATCTTTTGGAAGACATTTATCCTGGCCAATGTTTGGATACTGATCTTCTGGACATTGAAAACAGTCATCCATGTCTGAAGAAAGAAAGAAAGAAAGAAGAAAGAAAGAAAGAAAGAAAGAAAGAAAGAAAGAAAGAAAGAAAGAAAGAAAGAAAGAAAGAAAGATATTAATTACACGCTCTTAAAGAGAGTAAGAGGTGGTCGGAAGGCTTCCACAGTCTTTTTGCTTTATATCCCTCTTTTTTATTTGACTCACCAAAGTCTCTGTTGGTTCACATAGACAAAGCCACACTGCTCCCCCCCCCCATTTTATCATTTCTGACTCAATGTCATTTCTGTGGAATAATGCAAATACTTGTGCACTTTGTTAACTACTTCAGTATTTTGATGGAATTCAATAGAATAACCGCTGACCCGAATGGGTGGTTCCACACTTTCTGATTCTGCAGCTGTTACTCAGCTCATTTTTTAACCTTTCTTACCTTCCTGGTTGGAAATCTTTCCTTCTGGACATGGAATGCAATCATAGCAACAAAATGGCTTCCCTTCCTTCTTGGCCCGACTATAACCTGAACCGCAATGATCATTACATATAGAAATGGGCCGAATCTGTCCATAAATATTAAAATATAATGTTTTAGGAAATATCACAAACACTAGAAAGTATTACAAATGCAGTGGACTTTTAGAACTTGAGTCCTTGGCTCATATTATGGTATGGTATGGTTTATTTACCATATTTTTCGCCCTATAGGACGCACCGTCCCATAAGGTGCACCTAGTTTTTTTGGGGGGAAATAAAGGGGGGGGTATTTTTTTCCCCAGGCGCGGGGCTGGGACGGGGGAATATTTAAAAACATAACAAAGGAATGTGCATCAAACAATAGAAATGGTTTGACTCAAAAATTGTTAACAGTGGCCAGGGTAAAGCGGTGCATTTTCACCAATCCGTAGTAACTATAAATGAGGTTGTTTGACATCCCACTGTGGGGAAGGGGACATATTTTGGGAACTGCCACAGATAATTCCCTTTCCTAGACTACCATCCCCCAGGTTTCTGAGGGTGGCAGAAGTACCAAGAGGGAATATTAATAATTAAAAGCTTATGTATGGAAAGAGGCAAGATATGTTGAACCTAAATAATCTTATAAATAACACAAAACTGTAACTGTGTGACTCAAACACTTAAAATGATTATTTTAATCAAAAAATAATTTAATTTAATTACAAAATTTAATTACAAAAGTCAAAGCATCCTGGAAGAAGTGTGTCTTCACCTGTTTCATTTATATGTATGAAGTCCACACTCAAATTATGAGAGGGTTACATTTTGGGGATACATACATATATACATTTTGCATATTGTTAGAACACATGGAATTCAGTGGTGAGTGGAATTGCCAAAGTCTCCCCCGCCACCCCCATAATGAACATTATTTGGCACATTATTATTCAACTACAATGTGAATGTTCAGATTGAAAGCCATAGTTTGAATTGGGTCAATAAATTTACAGAATGCTGAGAAGCAACTATGGGACAAGTGATGGAAAGAACCCTGAAAGGTGCATAGAACCCACCTGGTTAAATGGGTTGGGCCATACAATGGCATCCTCATGAATGGTGAACGGTTTTTCCTGGGTACCCAGGAAGTCTATCTTCCCAATTTTGACTCTACGAAAGGACTGATTTGGAAACATGAGCCAGTTTATAATGTCAAAGACAGCAATTAATTCACCATTTGGGTCAAGATGCACCTTTTCTCCTGCACTGTTGTTAAATGAAATACTTCTGAGAATCTGATGGAGCTGAATAATGAAAATAAAATGGAAGATATATATAAAAGTTCAAACTATGTTATCATAAACAGGGTGAAAGTACAACCAAGGCACGGGATTATGATTCCATGAAAGCTTTTTGCAAGCTAATGTTAGAAAAAGCAAATGGTCACTAAAAACTTAAAACATCAAGGAATATTGTCTACATCTGCAGCAGTATCACTATCCAGCCCTGGGAGTCTTTCCCAGAACATGACTTTGAGAGCAGCAGCAGCAGGAAAGAGAGGAGTTCAGGAACACTTTTATGCATTGTGATTTGTTGTTTTTAATTGATTATAGATTAGCAATTCTGATGCTGTTGCTGCTTGTGATATTGGCAAAGCTAATGAGAATACAGCGGTACCTCGGGTTACATACGCTTCAGGTTACAGACTCCGCTAACCCAGAAACAGTGCCTCGGATTAAGAACTTTGCTTCAGGATGAGAACAGAAATCGTGCTCCGGCGGCGCGGCGGCAGCAGGAGGCCCCATTAGCTAAAGTGACGCTTCAGGTTAAGAACAGTTTCAGGTTAAGAACGGACCTCTGGAACGAATTAAATACTTAATCCGAGGTACCACTGTAGAAGGAGATACTTAACCAGTAAGGCTCCTTGGGAAGACCTTTCGCTCAGTGGTATGGTACACACTTGAGGACGAGGGTGGGACAGGGGCAGGGGCAGCGGGCTGCCCCGGCTGCTATTCGCACCACCCCTGGGAACGTACGCCGCTCGCCAACTCCCCGGGATGTGCGCTGCACGCCACCCCCTGAAGCTCATTGTGCACACACCGCAACATGCACTACGCCCCCGCAACCCCCAACAGTCACCCCCCCGCCTGTTCGCCACTCCTGGTGCCAGAGCATGTTGCTCTGAGACTGATGGTACATGCTTTGAATGCAAAAGATCCCAGGTTCAATCCCGGGCAACTCCAAGTAGGGCTGGGAAGGGCTTTTGCCTGGTATCCTGCGGAAGTATTGCCAGTTAGTGTAGACAACACTGATCTGCATGGACTGTACGTCTGTACTCGGTAGAAGGTGACTTTCTTTGTAATGTAAGACACTCTAAATAAACCTTTGAAACCCCAGCCCCATCTTGGTTATTTCTTTTCTTTTGCTTAAAAAAAATGTATTTCAAGCCCACTCTACACTTCGAAATCCTAGCATGAAGTGCAATACATAATCAGACCTACATGAAATAGCTGAATAAAATATTAGAAAACCAACAACAGAAGTCAAACAGATCCAATATGTCAGGCATGCCCTTCTCTACCAAAGAACAGATTAATTTATAGCTAATCAAAGATTTGATCAGATAAATGGTGCCATTCCCATTCCCCTCAATGAATGTTTGAATTAAATACTGGACAAAATTTCAGAGCAGCACCAAGTTATGAAACTCCTTCCCCCAAAAATTCACAGGTCCACAGGTGAAGGGATGGTAAGATAATTCTTTAACAAACTATGGGGAGATTTGTCAATCTCTGGGGTGGGGTGCTGCAGAGGGGGAAAAACCAAATGCTAGATATATTGTAAAGTTTTTCTCCGAAAATAAATTTCTTGTTAATCTCATGGAAGGTTGAGAAAGCTCGCCCATATTTCCTCACCAAAATATATGGAGGTATCTTCAGGACATTACCTGCCACGGTTGTGGATTTGGAAGCTCCCATCTTGCTCCCTCTGCCATTCCCCTGAGCTTTAATTGGGATGGATGTCTGATGTGCAAAGCATGTGCCACCGCATAGACTGCATTGTAGATGGTGTAGCTATGGGCAGTCATTCTCATTTCAAAAACAGACACAGGAAGTGCCTCCATCTTCTCCTCCCCAGTGCAAGTTTGCCCACCTATATTATCTGCCACTGAACTGGGGAATGAACAGTTAAATGACTCTTCCCAGAAGTCCTTGATAAAACCATCTTCTTTTTCTGTGCTTGGGTTCTTGATCTGAAGGAACTTCTGGAAAGCTAACAGATCCACTGAGTGAATGGCAAGGGACAGAGAACCATGAAGGAAACTTATGTCCCAATTTCTTTGGAATGGAAATGATGTGATATCCATCTGCGCTGTCATGAACCAGACTTTACCCTTAGTCCTCATTGGTATATGCTCAAATTTTACAATCTGGGGCACCATTTTCAATACCATCATCGTCTGAATTTCTCCATGTACAACCACAACATTTGCAGTGCTTCCCATAATAACACTGACACAGTGAAAGCCCTCTCCCACCATGTCCGTGACACCACTGGAAGATGTTAGCTTTGGGAATGTTTCTATGAAGTCAAAGCAGATGCCACTCTGGGAAAACATTGGAAGTACATTGTCTATAAAACCTTCTGTATTATCCCCATCTTGAGAAACCACTCCAATCCATGTCCACTGGAGATGCAGCAGTAACTGGATAATTCCTCTATATTGATGGTCCCCATTCGGGAACATTTGGTAGAAGAAAACTCCTTGAGACTCTTTATTCATGACTGGGGAAGAGCCATATATGAGCTAAGGTTTTTTTTATATTAAAAGAGAGAGAGAAAAAGAAGAATGGTTTTCAATATGAAATAATTGTATGTACTTGTGTTTTCTTTCTTCTGCACATTTCTGGCCGGGACCATAACGGTTAAGTATATCCTGCAGATAGTATGATTGAATTATCTGTTCACCTACTGGAGTCTACTTTCTCTGTGCATTTCCTGCAAACAACACTCTGAGGAAGCAGGCCCCTGCAACTAGCAGGATTGAAACCTCAACTCACCAGATACTGAGCCTAGCGTATATAATTGCTCAGTTTTATTGTGTGCTTCAATCCGCTGGTTTGTACAGCCATGAGAACACAAATCTCATTCTTCCTACCAAGACCGCGCCCCAACAACCCCAGATCACTCCTGCAGGCCAGACCAAATCTGGGACTGTTTCTAACTAATTCATCTAGTTCCACCCAAATTTGTCCAATTCAGTATTTGGGCTTTGGCTAAATCTGACCCCCAACCCTTGCAGCTTTTTACTGATTTCTCTTTCCCTGTGTATGTGTTTTAAGATTGGGAGGATTTGTCAATATTTCTCAATATTTCTCTTCAGTTTCTTATTTATTTATTTATTTCTATACCGCTTTATATTTTTAATAAGAATCTCAAAGCGGTTTACAGCATATTAAATCAATAAAACAACAGCCAGGCTATGTTCCTCTGGCCTCAAGAGGAGCCTCTTCAGTAGGGCCTTGCAGGGAGTGGCCTTCACACCTCTTTCTAGTGCTGGTGAGTCCTATTTAACTTATTTAACTGCATGAATGAGGCGTTTTTTTTAAGCTTCATGAAAATTTCTCCTAAAACACAAAACTTGTTATATGCAAATTTTGCCTAACATGCACATCTTTGTAAAGCAATATTCACGAATACAATGAATTTGAAGGATATTTTTACTAATGTGCATTTTTTATGCAAACTTTACCTTAATCTGTGCATTTTTTGACACATTATTTGATTGGAGAACTGCTTTGCAAAATCCGGAGAAGTGGGACTTTCAAAGAATGGCTGCATTTCATGTATTGCTTCTGAAAGCATGAATTCAGTGAAATTAAGGCGTGAATGTATTTAGATCTTACTTGCGGTATCTTGTAGGTAGACAGGATGGGTGTCATGTGAAGACAGACATTAGAGTTAGGTCCCCCAATGACTGCTATTGGAATGCTCTCAGCATCACATTTATAGTTAGGGATGACCATGGCCCTTCTTGAGAGAAGCTCTATTGAGGCTTCGTAGGTCCAGCTTGCACTGAAATGGCTGTTATAAATGTGGAAGCCCAGGGTGATGTTGGGCAAGATCTGGGGAGTTTCATTGATCTCCTTTACAGCAAATGTCAAGGCCAAGATGTGCTGGTAGAGGTGAGTCAGCACCCTGTATTGAGAGTTAGATGCTGCATCAAAGGTAATCTACTTCAGATTAGAACATTGACTACTTTTCAGTTCAGTATCCATTTCAGATACTGTACAAAAACAGGTTGTAATCTCACATCTCACAGACTTATAAAAGTAAACTGGTTCACGAATTTTTGAATTTTAATTTGTAATGTAATACATGTTTCAAGCCTGTTTTGATGCCACGTGGATGTCTGCAGGCAAGACTGGACATTTGTACAAGTGTTTGTCCTGTAAGCCAATATTTTATGCTTCGTAAATGTTTTAAAATTCTTCAATAAAATTTGGAATAAAAAAATGAGTGTTTGAAATGGGTAAATCAATTTTTTTAATACAACTACAGAAGACAAAATTCAATAAGGTGTTTTTATTTATTCTGACTTCTAGTAAATCTGGATGAAACGTGCCCCTACTTACATATGGTCATCTGAAAATTCCTGAGATGGGTGTTTCTCAAAGGATAGGGTATCTGAAAATATGTAGATCTGAGAAATAATGCCAGCAATGATGAGGTCTCCTGACTGATAATATTTGTGAAGAATAGGGACGGGTTCTCTGATGGAACATTGAGAAATATCCAGAAACGTGCACATCCCCTGCACCAACAGTAAGAGCACCAGCAACCGAAACACTACCATCTTGAAAGGGGTTCTTCATTTAGGCACAACTTCACCTCTCCTGTTACTGCCATTCCCGTGATCCTGAGCAGCAAAGCCTAACTTGAATTGTCACTCACACAGCTGATTCAAAGCCAGACTCATGAGTCTCTGTATGTCTATAGACCCAACCAAATAGAGTTCATAGTTATTAATAAGACCCTCCAGTCTTAGTTTAATCATTTGCATGTGGGCAGAAGAGGTCCCTAGGGCAGGATAGAAGATGTAATTCTGAATAATTACAGGAGGGGTAATCACTTGCTTTGAATCACAGATGCCGTGCAATATTTTAAAGAAAACATGTTTATCATATCTCAGCCAAAGCCTTTTCTTAAGTGGGAGAGACAGATGCTAGGCCCCTTCTTTTATTCTTTTTAGTGAGCTATTGATATTTAGAAAATTTTAGAAAACGGAAGTACTTCAAAGCAATAATAATTATAATGTACTCCCATATTATTCTGAAAGGGTGATGTCTAATCCAAGTCATACTCAGAGCATGCCCATTAAATTCAAGGGAGTTATGGATTATATTTATGTGGATTTACTCTGAGTTTGAGTAACAATGGTTATCACCCATTGTGTTGAGAACTGCATATTTATATCACTCGTTGCAACTCAAAAAACATCATTTGTGAATTGGAATGTATCTGTCAATCATCAATTATTTTGATGCAATTGAAATCAGTAAGATTACAGGTGTGTTGGTTGACTTGATGAGGTACTTGATTATTCTTTATTTCTTCGTATTAGTTGTCCCCTGCTGTTCAGTTCTGGCCTCAGCAAAATGATAAAGCATTTTGGGAAAAAGATGCAGCACAGTAAGCCACCACTAGAGGCCAAGATGGAGAAGATCTCCACAGCCACCATGTGTTTCCCTTTTGTGCTCAAGTAAGTTGGGACAAAAGACAACCACACACTGCAGAAGACCAACATGCTGAAAGTGATAAACTTGGCTTCATTAAAACTATCAGGCAACTTCCTAGCTAGGAAAGCCAAAGTTAAGCTGGCAATAGCCAGGAAAGCCATGAAGCTCAAAACAGAGTAAAACATGGTATTTGACCCTTCATTGCATTCTAGTACAATTTCTTCATTGATTGAGTGCATGTCAACATCTGGGAATGGGGGACAGGTTGCCAGCCACACAGTAATAAAAACAGTCTGAACAAGGAAGCTGGAAAGAACAATAAAGGTTGCCAGTTGTTTTCCCACCCATCTCCTCATCCTAGAGCCTGGCTTGATAGCCATGAAAGCTAGAACTACTATTGTGGTTTTGGCTAATATACAGGAAACTGCCACTGAGAAGATTGCACCAAAAGTAGTTTGTCGTAGGAGACATGTCACTTCATCTGGTTTGCCAATGAATAGCAAAGCACAAAGAAAGGAGAGGAGGAGAGAGGACAGGAGAACATAGGTGAGGTTCCGATTATTGGCTTTGACTATGGGCGTGTCCTGGTGCTTGAGGAATATTCCAAGAACCAAAGTTGTGATTAAAGAAAATAAAACTGCAAATGTGGTCAATATAATCCCCAGAGGCTCATTGTAAGTTAGGAAGCTTATGTATTTTGGGAGGCATCCATCTTGGCCAATGTTTGGATAATGATCTTCTGAACATTGAAAACAATCATCCATGTCTGAAATCAAATATGAAAAATAGATATAATATGATATTTAAGTATGGCATTCTGTTCCTGAATGTGAGTAGTGAACTTGAAATATCAGATGTTAATTTTGTAGTTCAGTGGTACCTCTGGTTACAAATGCCTTGAGTTACAGTTTTTTGGGTTACGAACGTTTTTAACCCGGAAGTAAGTGTTCCAAGCTCTTGGAGGCCTCACCGCTGCCCAGAGCAAGCCCAGACATCCGTGGGGCCTACGGAGGCTCTGTGACTGGGGCTCCAGCAGCGAGAGCTCTCTGAGGCCTCTGCGAATGCCCGGAGCCAGGCCCTGACATCAGGAGGATGCCCAGGAGGTCACATCCCAGCCCCAAAGTTAGGTAAGAAGCACTTACTTACCTAACGAAGACCAAGAACAGTGAAGCTGTTAAGAAAAGAAAGATGAGTCTGGGCCGAAAAGTCCTTTACCAACCCTTGCCCCATCCCCAGTTGTAGCACCTTGCCAGGTTTGGGGTTTTTTTACGTGAGTCTGCCCTGTGCCTTTGTCTCTGCTTTGTTCCTTCGTTTGGGGGACTTCTGGGGGACTCTGCCTTCTGCCATTGTTTTGGGGATCATGTGGAGCCCAATTCAGCCACTGGTTGATTGTGTGACTTCAGAAATGGATAAAATCCCCCATCCAAACAATGACTATCATCAGTGCATGTAAGAAAAAAAATTTTTTCATCTACAATACTGTCTTATTTATTTTATAGTACAGTACATTGATTATTGCCTTCATTTTATGAATCAATGGTCTTGTTAGACACTAAAATTCGTCTTAAATAGCTGTTTTAGGGGGGGTGTTTTTTTGTCTGGAACGGATCAATCCACTTTTCCATTACTTTCAATGGGAAAGTGCACTTCAGATTAAGAACACTTCAGGTTAAGAACGGACTTCCCGAACCAATTAAGTACTTAACCTGAGGTATCACTGTCATTATAATAGAAATTCTGCTTTCTCATAGGTCCCAAGAAATCCAGAAATATAAACAAATCTCAGCTATCCTGCTAGCGGCTGAAGGTGTCACACATCGTGATTTGTGTGTTCGGGACTGGGGCTTGCACAGTCTTTTTGTTTCAACTGATCCAACCCACTAATATTCTTATCATCTATGTATTTGTCTGATATTCTCTTCAGTCACCCAAGTTACCTCATGTGAAATATGTGGAAGACAGCCCTGGATTGTTTGACCCTTTTATTATTTCTACTTTCCCTCCTATAAAAACTACACAAGACACTCTCTGTTTAAAGTTTAAAGAACAAATAACTTTGACTTAGTATTCTTGCAGTTGCAGATTATTATGTTCAATGCTGGTAGGAACTACTTAAATTGCTAATAGCTTTTACATAGGTTAAACTGTTACAGACTGTAACAGTTTGATCTATGTAAAATAAGATAATAAGAAAATTGTCCAGTAGCACCTTAGAAACCAACTAAGTTTGTTTCTGGGTATAAGATTTTGTGTGCATGCACACTTCTTCAGATAACTCTTAGGCAGATAGCAGCAGCACACAACAAACCTGTTCTAATTGTTAAGACCATTCAGCTAACTGCCATAACTGCCACAGAGTGTATGACATCACAGAGTTCTATGGTTCTTGCCATTAACCCTTTACATATGCTTTGGTGTGTGCTAACATTTCACAATTTTGAATGTTTAGAGCAATTAGTTTAAGCATTTAAAATGCTGATGGGAGCAAGCTGGATTGTAGCTGATATATTTATAAAATAAATAGTAAGGTAAAGGGACCCCTGACCATTAGGTCCAGTCATGACTGACTCTGGGGTTGCAGCGCTAATCTCACTTTATTGGCCGAGGGAGCTGGGGTACAGCTTCCAGGTCATGTGGATAGCATGACTAAGCTGCTTCTGGCGAACCAGAGCAGCGCACGGAAATGCCGTTTGCCTTCCCGCCGGAGCGGTACCTATTTATCTACTTGCACTTTGATGTGCTTTTGAACTGCTAGGTTGGAAGGAGCAGGCCGAGCAACGGGAGCTCACCCCGTCGCAGGGATTCAAACCTCCGAGCTTCTGATCAGCAAGTCCTAGGCTCTGTGTTTAACCCACTGCACCACCCACATAGTATCCATCTGTTAAATAGGTGGCAACTGTTAAACAGAACACATCTACATACGATATTCCTTACCTTTCTGGTTTGAAATCTTCCCTTCTGGACATGGAAAGCAATCATAGCAGCAAAATGCCTTCCCTTCTTTTTTAGCTCTTCTATAACCTGAACTGCAGTGATCATTACATATGGAAATGGGGCATATCTGTTAATAAATTATAAAGTAGTTTTTTTAAAAAATCCAAAAATAGGTTGTGGAGCTTTATTTCATTATTATTTCTCTGCAGTGAACGAATGGCTTGATACTGTCATAAGGAAATATAATGAATTCTTGAGTGCACATCATGTTTATGTGGTGAACTTCCCTATAATTGGAGTCCTTTACCCACATGAGAAAACATGAGACAAAATTTGCATTATGACAGTGTTGCTTGAATTCTGTACATTTGTCTTAGCATTCTAACATC